AAAGAGAAGAACGCGACTGGCATTTCTCAAGCTGAAAGAACTGAAGAAAAAATTCAAGCTTCGAATTGTAATACTGAAGAATTCTATGAGCAAAATATTGAACGACGGAGGAAGCATCAAAAGAAGATGGAAGGAATACAGAGTCAGTGTACAAAAAGAACTGGTGGACGTTCAACCATTTCAGGAGGCAGCATATGATCAAGAACCGATGGTACTGAAGGAAGGAGTCCAAGCTGCACTGAAGGCATTGGCAAAAAACAAGGCTCAAGGAATCGACGGAATATCTGCTGAGATGTTTCAACAAATGGATGCAGCAATGGAGGTGCTCACTTGTCTACCTCAAGAAATTTGGAAGACAGCTAACTGGCCAACCAATGGAAAATATCCATATTTGTGCCCATTTCAACAGAATGAAAAAATTACTGAACAATATCATTAATATCACATGCAAGTAAAATTTCAGTAAAGATAATTCAAAAATGGCTGCAGCAGTACATCAAAAGGGAACAGCCAGAAATTCAAGCTGGATTCAGAAGAGGACGTGGAACAAGGGGTATCACTGCTGATGTCAGATGGATCTTGGCTGAAAGCAGATAATACCAGAAAGATGTTTACCTGTGTTTTACTGACTATGCAAGGGCATTTGACTGTGTGGATCATAACAAATTATGGATAACATCGAGGAGAATGCGAATTCCAGAACACTTAACTGTTTTTCTGTGGAACCTGTACACAGACCAAGAGGCAGTCATTTAAACAGAAGAAGGGAATACTGCATGGCTTAAAATCAGAAAAGGTGTGTGTCAGAGCTGTATCCTTTCACTATACTTATTCAATCTGTATGCTGAGCAAATATGAAAAAGAACGCAGCAACAGGATTGGAAGAAGACTCATTAACAACCTGCGATGTGCAGATGACACAACCTACTTGCTGAAAGAGAACTTGAAGCACTTATTGATGAAGATCAAAGACTACAGCCTTCAGTATGGGTTACATCACAACACAAAAAAAACGAAAATGCTCACAACTGGACCAATGAGCAACATCATGATAAATGGAGAAAAGACCGAAGTTGTCAAGGATTTCATTTTATTTGGATTCACGATGAACATCCATGGAAACTGCAGTCAAAAAATCAGACGTGTTCCACTGGCTAAATCTGCTGCAAAAGACTTCTTTAAACTGTTAAAAAGCAAAGATGTCACTTTGAGGACTAAGGTGGACCTGACTCAAGTCATGGTATTTTCAATCACCTCATATGCACGCAAAAGCATATGAGGAAGACTGGAGGAAGACTGAAGGAAGACATAAAGAATCGATGCCTTTGAATTTATGGCATTGGAGAAGAATATTGAATATATCACAGAATGCCAGAAGAACGAACAAATCTGTCTTGGAAGAAGTACAGCCACGATGTTCCTTAGTAGCGAGGATGGCGAGACTTCATCTCATGTACTTTTGATGTGTTATCAGGAGGGACCAGTCCCCGGAGAAGGATATCATGCTTGGTAAAGCAGAGGGTCAGCGAAAAAGAGGAAGACCCTCAATGAGATGGACTTACACAGTGGTTGTAACAATGGGCTCAAACACAGCAATGAATGTGAGGATGGTGCAGGACCAGGCAGTGTTTCCTTCCACTGTACATAGGGTTGGTATGAACTGGAACCAACTTGATGGCACCTAATTACAACAAGATGCCCTGTCTTTTCTCTGGTGGAACTGCTATTGAGTTCGACTTGCCGATCTTTTGTTTAGCAGCCCAGCGCTTAACTACTGTACAACCAGGGCTCTAGTTAAAGGAATGCCAAAAAAAAAAAAAAAAAAAAAACCATGCCTTAATAAATGTAGATTGCTGTCATTAATGAAACATCATAGTTAATTCTTAAGTAAAATCAAGAATCCTTCATTACCAATTTGTAAACCAAACCCTACAAGATTCTGACCTCCTTATACTTTACTAAGCTGCTGACTGGTAGGGGAACTGAATAAAGGTGGTGAACACGAAGGCTTAGAGCCCTATTCTCACAGCAATTATGACTAGAATCTTAGATACCTCTGTATAGACATTATGGTAGGTAAAATTTCCTTTTACTCTACCTTCACGCAGCCTAGTATGAGAGCTTGTTTAAGTCAGTACTTTAAACACCAGAGTTTCACCTGGAATCTTGAGAACATATCTATCATGCCTCACATTCTTGTCAAGTATTTTTTTACTATGTTATACACGCTTCATCTAATGTTTTCCATTTTTTAATTCTGACTCATCCACTTCACCTATCCCACCAGGGTCTCTGGAAACCCTCTTAGAATATAAGCTGTGTCCCAGTCTTCTACCGCTTCATATAATGGTCCCTCCACTTCTTAACTTTAACTAAAGCCTGGCTCTCTCCCAAGGGCACTGCTTATCCTGCAATCTTTTTATGTGAGAGTTTCACAGATTTCTAAAACCCCTAAGCATACCATTACTCTTCTAATTCCCTGTATTAAAAACAAACAACCCCTTCCAAATAAAACAAAGTAAGAAAATAATTTCTACTTTGAAATTCATGTTATCTAGCTGAACACCTCCTGCCTTTCCTCTGTACTCTGGCAAATTATACCCATATACCAAAAGCCCTAATCTAACCCATTACATCATCAGCAGGGGTAACTTCAATGTGTGTGTGCATGACCTAGCCCAGCACCCTAGTCCCCAAAATATTTGACTTTCTCAACATAAAAGACCTTCACATTCCACTTCAGCCAATCACTCCTTTGTCTACCTTACATACGTTAAACATGCAATCTCTGATCATTACCATATATCCTCTTAAGAGTTTTACTTATACCGGACTGTATCTTTGACCTATCAAGACACCAGCCTATTTTTAACCCAGTCCAACACCTTGCTCTGACACCACTACCCTTCCAATCATGGCTACCACCAATGGCATATTATTCCAACTACTCCAATGTTAACACCTTATTCATATGCCACTAGTGGTTCTATCCCATCTCCTCTGCTAATATCAAACCCTGAATTACCATGCATTTTCCTCTGGCTATTGGAGAAAAGTCCTCAAACGTAAGTTTGATAAGGTGTCTAAATTCAGCTGACCACTCAGTGGCACAAGATTCTCCATAATCTTTGGTGTACTCCTTCACCCGTACCCCTTAGTAACTTTCCAAACAGTCACATTCTTCTTGTATCCCATACTCAAAACCCTGGGTTTCACAGAACACTATTAGAAAGTTTTTCCAGAAAAGTTTAATGGTCATTTAAATTTGACCATCAGCATTTTAAGGGATCTGCACTATCTTCAGTACAGGAATCTGTTTTTAAGTCTGCATTTCCCAAACTTATTCAACAATACAACTCTCTCTCAAGGAAGTCTCTTTCGCATCTCAAAGGTGATAGAAACAATGTGGTAGCAGACCTAAACTATATTTACTGAGAGAACTGATGGTACAGGCATGAATGACTTTGACTTCTCCATCCTTACTTACAAATTCCATATATCCATCTTTTCTTCCTTCTAGTTTCAGAAGACGAAGGAGACCTGATGATGCAGTGGTTAAAGCACTTGAATGCTAATCAAAAGATCAGCAGTCTGAAACATCTGCGGCTCTGTAGGAGAATGATGTGGCCGTCTGCTCCCATAAAGATTTACAGCCTTGGAAACCCTATGGGGTTGCTATGAGTCGGAATCGACTCGACAGCAGTGAGTTTGTTTTTTTTTGGTTAGTTTCAGAAGAAGGTTTTTCCACTTATTCAAAGTCAACCCCTATACATATATTCTTTATTCCAACCCTTACTATCTCAAAAACCCGACTTTGATTAACTACCTCTCCTATTATCTCAAATTTCTTAAGCCCTCACAACCAATCACTGAAATCTTGTTTCAACTTCTAAATACGTATTTGTCTTAAATCCAGAAAACTCTGTCTCGAATTCATATTATACCACTGCCCATTAAAAGCTTCCCTGACTGAGTTAACCAATGTCATAAAACAATATGTGTACTACTATTTAATGAGAAACTATTTGTTCTGTAAACTTTCACCTGAAGTACAATAAAAAAAACTTCCCTGACTGAGCTACTGAAGGCATTGTCAGCCTACTGCCACACGTTTCTCTTCAATCCTGTTTCCCCACTGCCAAGGTTATTAAAAATATAAGTTGGGCAAGGTTACTAATCTCCCACTTAGCAAACTCTTTATTGGACCCAAATACCTACAACATATAGGTCAAGACACTTTGCCAGGCATGTAAGGTCCTCATTACCTAACCCTTTCTAACTATCAAGTCTTATCTCCTTTATTCACTGATTCCAAAATCCTCAATTGCCTACAGTTCCCTACACTCACTATGTGGGCTACATAACTTTTCTCAAGCTTCCACCTAGAACAACACTGCCAGTGCTTCCCACTGCCTAACTCCCAATCACACTTCAAGATTTCACTAAGCTTTGCTGGTCACTACTATTTCCCTGCCATCTGGATTAGGTTCCTATTGTCTATCTGGCTATCCTGGTACTCTCTCATGTTCCCATAGCATCCTGAGGATCCTTCTACCACACTGATTAAAATTATTTGCCTCTTTGTCTTTCACCTTAAGTAGACTGTAAATTTCTTGAGGGTAGAGACTAATATGACTCCCTTGTATCCACAATAGCACCTGATGTTTTGCACAAGGCACGCACTTACTAAATATTGGTTAAACTGAGTTCTTTCTTCATCTCCCTATTCCCTCACAACTGCTACAGGAGAAAAAAAAAAGGCATAAAGATCCAGGAGTATGTAATTTTCTCGCTACAAGTAGAAATCCAAGATTCAGAAGTATTTGGTAAAGGAAAAAGTACACATGCTTCTATCTATATTAGGATTTTTCTCCCAAATGATTTTTTAAAGTATTAATTTTTTTAAACTATTTTAATTATTTTAAAATAATGTGATACAATTTATAGAGTAGTCTAGGGTAACTTAAAAGACACCACAGCCTCAACCAAGTTACACTTACATTCGGCTAGCTTCAATGTCGTCAGATTGAGGTTCTCCGGGTGATCTGTAAAATGCAATTGATGAAAGTTAAGCAAAATATTCCGTATTCCAAAAACGGCAGATACGTTATTTTGGAAGACAAATATGAAAACAAGATTTAAGCACTAAATAAAACAGTTTTAAAAATAATTAAAGATTGCAATACAAGAAAAAAGTAGTCAGATCAGATTGTTATACATATATTTTAAGGGCTGAACTAATGAGAAGCAGTGCATGTTTTTAAGGAAAAGGAAGCTGTAAACACTACATTAAGATGTCAACATATAAACCAATATAATAAATCAATTAATCACAAAATCAAATATTTATAATAAAACACACAACTGTGAAACTTTCTACAGCCGTCTTGCTTACCCACAATACCACAGGGACTCACTGATATGCAGTCTCAAACTTTAGATGAGTGGCTGGCAAACTATGGCCGGGGCCAGCCCCTTATTTTTATTAAGTACAGTTTTATTGGAACACAGCCACACTGGTTCATGTATATATTGTCTACTGCTGCTTTCATGCTACAGGAACAGAATGGAATAGCTGGGACAGAGTGGAATACCTGCAAAGCCTAAAATGTTTATTATCTGGCCCTTTAAGAAAAAGTTTACCAACCTCTGCTCTAGATAATTCAAATTCAAATCTAATCACCTTGGTGAATTGAGACATTTAATGATTTACCATTCTGATCATGATTACCTTGTTTCAATAGTGAAATTAGCTTTCTCTGAAAATACACTGGCAGGATACACTTACTACCTGTCAAAAGTGTACCACCCTGGGGTATTAAAATCTTGCTGTGCTTAATTGTAAAATGACTTTAGTTATAAATAAATAGTTGTCAGTTATTTTCTATTATTTCTGAACATACTGCTGCTATCTTATGTAGAGGAGCCCTGGTGGCACAGTGGTTAAGAGATCAGCAGTTAAAGCAGCAGTTAAAAGGTCAGCAGTTTGAATCCACCAGCTGTTTCCTGGAAACTCTATGGGGCAATTCTACTCTGTCCTGTAGGGTGGCTATGAGTCAGAATCAACTCAAAGGCAACAGGTTTTTATCTTATGTAGATATATTCCAAATTCTAAGACCCTACAAACTCATTTTCATTTTGGTGATATGAATGAATTTTTCCTATCCCCACCATACTGTTAAAAACATAAGTTCCTATGGGCCTATTCACTTCATAATTCACACCAGTAATGTATATTAAGAGGAATCAACATAATGCCTACTGTTAACACTTTCATATTCTCAAAACAGGTAAAATATATTTTTAAATCAAAAGCTAAATTTTCAAAATGGCATTACGAGAACTTGATCTATGAATTTATCATTGACTTTAGATTTCAAACTCTGAACAACTTTAACAAAAGAATCTTAAAATCAGAGCCACTAGAAGAAAATATCTGCTTTTCATATTCTGTAGCTGTAAAAACAAAACAAAACAAAAACAAAAACAAAAAAAACCTCACTTCTTTATCAGTCTTTAAAAATTGCCCCTCATTGCAGGGCTTAAAGTCATTCAGATTCTAAGGACAAGAATGGAAGGGGAAAAAAAAAAAGGTTCCAGCTCAATTATTTATTTTAGATCTTTGTAGTATATTTAGATTTCAATTTTTCACAAAATTATATAAGAACTAAAATCGGGGCACACTGGAGGTGGCAGTGACATGGCAGTGACACAAATGCAAAAATCTCACTCCACCCTCTCCCCCAGGGAGCAAGCAAATCACTTTGTGACACACCTGGTCTCCACCAGCCTTGTGGGTAAGTACCCCAAGATTGCTTCCAAACTTGTATCTCCCAGACAGAAGAGCTAAAAATGGATGATAACCCCATGTACCAGCTGACTCATTTGAAAGTGCGACCCTCCAGCATCGGATGTCATATTGTAAGGAGGCAGAGCTGGCTTGCAAAACAAAAAATAAACCTGCTGGCACTAAGGGGAGAGAGGCAGATTAGAAGCTTTCAAACACGCAGGCACCAAACTTTCAAAATTAATAGGAACAGATAAAGGCAGAGAGAGGGAAAAGACGAGGACACAATAACAGGAAAATAAAAATATTACTGCAAAAAGGTAAGACACAAGCAAGAAAGAAAGCAAATCCAAGCCTCAGAAGCACAATATGTTTAACTGCTGCAGTGTTGTGAGATTTTGAAGTGGGAGACAGGTTACAAACATCACCAAATGATAACTATATTCTCTTTTTCCAATTTCTACTCCCTAAACAAAGGAAAATGTGAACAGTAGCATCAATATATCAACAAACTGTAAATTTACTAGGTTATTATTTAATAGTAACATGTATTAAAGTAAGCTACTAAACTTCATTTATAAATCAAATCAAGTAATTTAAACCAATCCAGTCTAGGAGAAGGACAAAAGAATAAAGGATTAAAATATTACTACCCTAAAACAGATCTGTCCTGGGTCTCCTAAACATGACTAGCATAGGTCACTATCTATCTAAATTGAAAGTTGATTGGTTTTTAATAAGAGAGAAATGACTATGCACAGACCAGACAGAAAACACGTTTCTTGCAGCAAGTAATATGCAATAATGCATGTCTGGTACACTTCTCTAAATTAATATTCTAAGTAAAAGTTACCAAAAAATAAAGTAAGGACTCAAGCTCTCAAGACTATGAAATATCTAACATCTAGTAATAGTTACCAAACTTATTCTGATCCCTAAAGAGGGCATTTACTCTTTACTGTCAAGTGTTTGGAATTTTAAAAGAATCCAGCATGTGCCTGTACTTTTACCAAATTCAAAACATATAACCAAAAGAAAAAACAAACAAAAACTATTAAGAATAACAAATGAGAAAAATTTTTCAACTAAAACAACAAGCAAATAAAATTAGAAAATAAAAATAATTAAATCTTGTAACTGTCTCAAATTTAGGTGTTTAGACTGCAGAAAAATGCCAACTAGTCTGAATACTGCAGCATGAGCTAGCAAATTTGAATGGTGGCTCACTTCCAATAATACTGGGTGCAGCTTCTCCATCCTGCAAGCCACTCCTTCTACCTCCACTGTAACTCTCTAGGAGAGAAAAGTATACTAGTTTTATTAAAGTTGTAAAAACTTCTAGAAGTGTTTAGTTAAAACTTTCACCACATAGAAGGCACACTTGAAAAAACACATATTAAGAAAATTTCCATGCCTTTTTAAATAACGTTCACAATAAAATGCTTATTTAAAAACTTGAAATTTTTTGAGAAGTATTTTCCTGCTTTATTCATACAGGTCTTTAGTGGTGGTTATTGACAGTTTGAGGAGTCCCTGGGTGGTGCCAATGGTTAAGCGCTCAACTACTAACTGAAAGAATCCACCCAGGGACACCTCGGAAGACAGACTTGGCAATCTGCTTCCAAAAGGTCACAGCCTTGAAAAACCTATGGAGCGTAGCTCTGCTCTGCACACATGGAATCAACTTGACAACAACTGGTTTGGTTTTTGGTTTGGTACTGATAATTTCAATGGGGGAAAAAGAGCACTAAAATATTTTAAGTACAAGATTAAATGGAGAAGCAATTCAACTGGTCCACTCTTCTTATAGCAGTATGCCTGCCAACTATACATTTTCTTTATTTTTACAGCATGCATATTACTTTAAAATGATACCCTTTAAAGGGCTGCAAAATACATTTAACATTACCTTTTACAAGCTGTGGCCATTCGGTGACATCAGGGTGATCACAGCTTTGAGTCACTGATTGAAAACAGGTTGTCACACCAGTCTAGCTGCTAACTTGATCTGAGCGTAGGCTTAGTAACTCTAATAAATTAAACAAACCTTTAGTTAGAACACTTTATATACAATCCAAATTACGGTTGAAAAAGTAATCTTCGAAGCTTCAAATTAAGTGTGATATAAAATTCATCAGAAGAATAATTATTATAGAAATGTTTTTAAGAACCGTTTTCCAGCATTTTTTCCCCGCTTAAATGACCTATTCACTTGAGAAAATGTGGTAATAATCCCTTGAACTTTTATGGAGTGTTACAGTTTACAAAGCACTTTGGTCAACATTATCTTGCTTGAGTCTCATGACAATTTTGGTTCTACCAATTCAGGGTAGATAGTATAGCATTAACTTAGAACACAAACAAAAAATTAGGCAGCCTCACAGTGACTGGCTTGCTCAAGATTTCTGATTTATTGTTGGAACTTGGACTAAAACCCAGATGTACTGACTTCCTAGCTAGGGTTGGATTTCTCTGGTTTCGTTTAGTTTTGCTATACAGAGTTTCATGATTTAAATATATATAAATGAGCAAAGATTTAGAATACAGACTGAGACCCCAAAATTAAGGCAATAGTTTAAATGGGACTAATTTAGTAATAGCATTTTTAAACTGAAGGAGAAATCAGTCCTCAAGTAGGGAAATGTTTAATGGAATAGTTACACACATAGATATACCAAAGTCTAGTCCTTAACTTAATTCTACACTTAAGTTGGGTGGTCTAACATTAGCCAAAATCCCCTGAGCATTACATGAATGCATGTTCTACTCTCTCAGCTATAAACTCACTAAGATTCAATTTCCTAAAAGAATGTGGCAAAATATACAAATATCTCTTCCTCCATAAACCTAGTATCTTTTTATCCCCTTACTTGACCTGAACAGAACTTTCCTGATTGTCATGGTTCAAATTTACCAGTCCTCCTAATCATACTGTAGTGTTGGCAGAGACTCTATACATCAGAAATATCCCAGTATCAATAGCTCATTTCAGGCAACTAACTTTTCCTTTCATGATTCCCCATCAAGCCGTAAATCTAGGCCAAATCTGTAAAGTGAACTAAAGAAAGATAAGAAAATCAGGAGTGAGAGAAAGAAAGACCATTCATAGTTAACACCTTCAAATTAATCACAGACAAGGAGAGAAGGTGATTACTAGCAAGGATATGGAACCCAATATAAAACAGCAAGGTATCTGAGAACCTCAGGAGAAGGATCAAAACATCAATGCTTGGGTCCACACCACAGCAAGCCATGAACAAAGGTCTTCAAATCCAGGTAAGAGTGAGGGTTGGCCTGAGTGTATTTAAGTAACTTTAATGAGGATTCCGATAAATGGGATTTATAGTCCCTGGAAGAAATAACTCAAACTCTAGATATTCCTATCATGGCTACATGTCCTCTAATGAGAACCTAGAACATTCCTGAGGTCATATGTGCACGAATGATGCCCCTGAAACAAACAATGTGGTTATGTTATAGCTCCCTCTTGGGCTCTCATGAGCCTAATAGTACATGTGGATTCAGAAGATCCAAATAATATGTAAGTCCAACTTCCAACTTGAAAACACAAAAATGAGAAAGGTTAATTGACTAAGGGTCAATTACCGTTAAACAGCCATATCATTTTTTAAATTACTAAGTCAAAGTCTTCTCCTCTTTTATGAGGTCCACTTCTCCACAGTGCACAAGAAGACAGACTCCAGAGCCAGAATGCCTGAATTCAAGTACCAGTTTGATCACTCACAAGCTGAAAAATCTTGGACAAATTACTTAATCTCTCTGAGCCTCAATTTCCTCATAAGTAGAACTAAGATAATAGTAGTGCCAAATTTAGAGGATTGTTAGGATGAATGAGTAAACACCCAAAGTGCTCAGAAACTCAATGCCTGGCACAGCGCAAGAGACCAGTAAGTAGAAGCTATTATCAATACTCAAAGCCTAACAGCCAAATCTCCACCCCCTCCCCAATCTTCTCAGGCATACTATTTTACTTAGCGTACTAATCTCTTCTAAATTCTTTCAGCAACCCATCTGGGTTTCTTATATAGTCTAACTGGTAGCATAGTTATTTATGTAGTTCTTTGTTCCTCTACTATTATTTATGAAGCTCTAAGTTCCTGAAGGGAAGGGAATGTACAATTTTATTCTTTTGTATATTCCTCATTAGCACCTAACACAATGTTTTCAAAATGGCAGTAATCCAAATCTGCTTAAACACATCTGTCATTATTCTGACATTCAAGCCAATGGTAGACAAGCCATGACAGTAAGATATACATACAATATGAATTAAATAAAATATAAACATACCATATTTCGCCAAACTTCTGATGAGCTGGTGAATTCTAAAATCAGGCTCTTACAGATTTTTAACCTAAAATATAAAACACTTCACTTAATTTTTTTTTAATAAACAACTGGATACACTTTCAAAAATAAATGTATTTTTTCCTAAACTTCACTACAAAATAAAAGCAATTTCATTTTCTGTAGTACTTTAGTATTCAAAAACGTATCAAGAGAAAAATTACCCTACTGTTGTTGTCAGGATGAGTGGAAGGGCCTGAGGCCTGAAGGCCCTGTGGCCTGAGTGCTTTCAGCTGGCAGAGCTATGTTTCCCATTTTCATCCACAGAGCTTAGTGTGCTTTCCATTTCTTTACTTTTCCCTCCCTCTAGAAGGGCTGAAAATATGAGAATACATGAAAACTGTCTGACTACATGCCTCTATTCCCTTCAGACACCTATAGCAATTAACCTTTTAACTTAATCCTATATTCTGAACATCTGCTAAATTAGTTACAAGTATGGGCATCTGTCTATTACTTCCTGGAGTGGCCAAGCAAAAAACCAAACCTGTTGCTGTCGAGTCGATTCTGACTCATAGCAACCCTAGGTGGTGGGTAAACCCTTTGCCTTGCATGAGTCTCAGGTATATAATCTTAAGATGGAGGTAAAACCTACCAAGGTTGTTGCAAGTATTAGAGAAAATATATTAAAAGTACATAGAACCATGCCTGGCACATAATAGGGCCTCAATATTTTAAAGATTATTATCTCTTAACACAACCATTCAGTATATCTATCAAAACAACTCTTATCAAAATCCAAATTCTGAGGCTTAAAATAGACCCTAAATATTCACTGCAAATTCTTAACTCATTTTTATACAATCAGAATATTTCTCTACATGACAGGAACTGAAGTCTTTGGGTTAAAATATAATAATTCATTTTATTATATATGAAGAAATCAAACCCCAGAGATTAAGAAGCCCACCCAGTATCCTATAAGTTGATGGCAGAACATGAATACACTTCATATAAATATTAAAAATGCAAATTCTTGGTCTCTACCTCAGTGCATGAGGTAAGGATATATGAATTTTGTTATTTCTCACATACATTTCAGGTGATGTGCAGACCTCAATTTGAGAAACATATTAGGAACACATAATACACCAAATATATAAGGATACCAAATAACAAATCATAAACATCAGAAATCTTAGGTGCACTTGCTTGCATTTTAACCATTAACACCCTACTGTGAGACCTATTATTTATATCTGTTTCTCTAATACAGAGGGCTCTGTCTAATAATCCAATAAGAAATGCCTATATCAATCTATGGAGCCCTGGCGGCACAGTGGTTAAGAGCTTGCTTGTTAACCAAAAGGTCGGCAGTTTGAATTCACCAGTCACTCCTTGGAAACTCTATGAGGCAGAGTTCTGTTCTGTCCTATAGGGTCGCTATGAGTCAGAACTGACTCAACAGCAACTGGACTGGTTTTCTGGTTGTATCAATCTATACCCATACCCCCTCTAACATTATTCTTCATAAGTTCTTAAAATAGCCCGTCTGTCTATGATTGACTCTCTCTGCCTTCTTCCCCCATCTGTAATTATATATATACATATACACACATATATATGCATATATTTTAATTATTACATCTGATATGTTCTTTACTTCCTCTCCAACAAAATTTCTTCACCCTCCACTTCTGAACCTAAGTCAAAACTTAACTTCAGAAACGGCCTTTTCTATCACTTTTTTATTGTGCCCATTCAGCACTTCTGTGCTCCTTTGCACCAGGTTTATAGTGTCTTAAATTTATAAATAAAGCTACTTGTTGAAACTCTTAAGACTTGTCCATCTATAAATTCCAGATCAACTGACCAAAGACTGCTTAAGTCTCCCTGTCTCTAGGCTTTCCTTGTCCTAGTCCATTCTGCAATTAAAAATTTTTTTAAATGCTTTCATACAGTACTCTCAAGACCTCAGTTCTATTACCCCCTAAAGGTACTACTTCCTTAGTCTCCTTCAACTGCCAAAAAAGTCTTTAAAATCATTCACTCAGCTACTGATATACAAAACCTTCCACCCTACTGAAATTTTTCTTATAAAAGTCATCATTACTCCTGTATTTCCCAATCCTGTAGCTCTTTAATCCTACTTAATTTCTATAGCACTTGGCACTCATAATTACTCCTTACCTTCTCCTCCCCTGGCTTTCCTGACGATGCACCCATCTGGGTTCTTCTATCTCTCAGGCAGTAACTCAGTCCTCTAGCATTCATCTTCCTACCCTTCATACATGGCCATCCTCCAAGTTTCTGTCACTACTTCCCCTCCCCCCTTTTTCTTAACCTAAATTAATTCTCTGTGCAATGTCATCCATTTCTCTAGTACCTCATACTTAGGATTCCTAACTCTACACCTCTAAGCCCGTATCTCTTGAATTATAAGCTTGCAGCTCCCAATTATCAATGGTACATATTGTCATGGATTGAATTGTGCCTCCCAAAAATATGTGTATCAATTTGTCTGGGCTATGATTCCCAAAATTGTATGATTGTCCACCATTTTGTCATCTGATGTGATTTTCCCATGTGTTGTAAATCCTATCACTATGATGTTAATGAGATGGATTAGCAGCAGTTATACTGATGAGATCTACAGGATTAGGTTGTGTCTTAAGCCAATCTCTTTTGAGATACAAAAGAGAGAAGTGAGCAGAGAGAGAGAAAGGGACCTCATACCACAAAGAAACAAAAGCCAGGAGAATAGCACATTCTTTGGACCTGGGGTCCCTGAGCTGAGAAGCTCCTAGCCCCGGGGAAGATTGATGACGAAGACCTTCCTCCAGAGCTGACAGAGAGAGAAAGCCTTTCCCTGGAGCTGATGCCCTATATTTGGACTTCTAGCCTACTAGACTATGAGCGAATAAACTTGTTTGTTGAAGCCATCCACCTATAGTATTTCTGTTATAGTAGCACTAGATAACTAAGACACATATCTACTTAAATGTCCCACTATCTTCTAAATTCAATGTATCTTAAACCAAATTCAGTATTTCCCTCCAAAAAATCATCCAGTTCATCCTGTGTGTGCCTAATCTCACTGCTTTACTAGTTACAGACTGAAAAACGTGGTGTCATTTTTTCTCTTCCTTCATTTTTATTAGCCTGACTACTGTGATAGTTGATAGTTCCTAGCCTTTAAGTTCTTAACAGTCACTGATTCAAAAAAATGTCTACTAGGTTTTGAGTGTCTGCTAGGCAGATGAAGACACAGTAGTGAAGAAACTAGACATAATTCTCTTGCCCTCATGTGGTGGAGGAAGATGGAGCACAAACAATAAAAATCATAATAAATTATGTAATTACGATGCATACACAGTTAACTGTTGTGAAGGAGAAACACAAGGAGTTGTTAAGTGCACACAGTTAAGGGACCTGACTTACTCTGCAGAGACAGATAATTTTTATGCAGTGACATATAAAGTGAGCTTTGAGGGATGAGCAGGATTCACCCGACAAACTAACAAAAACCCTGTGATATAATGGTACCCCTATCCGTCTAGTCACCTAAATAGGAGAATTTGGGGTCACATTCTAAAGAGAAGGTCCTCTCTCTTTTCCAGTACATCAAATGGCTCATCAAGAGCTATCAATTCTACCTAAGAAATCTCTATCTTCACCCCAACACTACCCTCCAATAGTTCCTTAGCTAGTTCTTAGCTGCTTCCAGAATAAAGCCAAAATTCCTGAACATGTCAGATGAGACTGTCTTCAACTTGAACAAAACCTTCCAGTCAAGCCTCTTCTGCCAGACTAAACAAGAGAACATGTGTATCATTCACTTTTGTACTTCTAGTGCTTGAAAATGACTGCAGAATAAAAAATTAACATCTTACAAAAGAGAAAAACTTTTAGGTAACTTGCTTTATTTACGCCATTCAACTAATAAATGCAGAGTCAAGATTCAAACCCAAGTTGTCTAATTCTAAACGCCATGCTTTCTTGTACCACACTTCTAAATTACACTCAAATCCTACAAATTTTGTCTCTGAAATATCTTTTGCTTCCTTTTGTCCCATGTTTATAGGACTGTCATACTACAGGCCCTCATTACTTCATCTGATTTCCCAGTCCATCCTTGACTCTGCTGCCAGAATTATCTTCCTAAAACTCTAATTTGGCCCTAATACTCCCATGTTCAAAAACTTCCATGGCTTCCCAACCCTCGTGATAAATTTCAAAGTCCTTCACATCTGATTTGAGGTCCCTCACATGACTCCAACCCACCCATTTAAGTCTTCTACCAACATCGTTCTTGATTTGAGGTCCCTCACATGACTCCAACCCACCCATTTAAGTCTTCTACCAACATCGTTACCAGTTGCCATCGAATCAATTCCAATCATGGCAACCCCCTGTATGTGCAAAGTACAACTGTGCTCCATAGGGTTTTAATTGCTGACTTTTCAGAAGTAAATCACCAGGCTTTTCTTCCCAGGCACTTCTGGCCAGACTCAAACCACCAAGCTTGTGCTTAGCAGCCTATCGAGTTAATTTGTACCACTGAGGGACAACTACCTTATCACCCATTAGATGGCATCATCACTGGGTACCTGATGACCTAGTCCCATTATTAGATTACTAGCAGTCATATATACTAGCCATCTGTACTTCCAAATTCAATGCTTTTGCTTCTCAGGACACTAGACTCACAAATGCTCCCCTGTCCGTTGCTAACCTCTGCACCCCTCCACTCACCTTTCATAGCCTCTTAAACACCTTACTCTTTCTAAAGGCTACCTTTCATAGGGTTCTCTAAGCTCTTTTGCTATACATAATGAGCCTTCTTTGGGTTCTATTATGCATTCCTAGTACCATGATTTTTTTTCTACCTTACATTTATTATTTTCTACCTTATATTATAGCTATCTGTGTAAATTTTCCAGAGATTCTGGTTGTAAGCTGGTTGATGGTAGAGATCATCTTATCCATACTTTTAATCTCATAGTCATAATGACTGTTTTCTTCACACACCATCCCCCTACAAGCTGGTTCTAAACGCAAGTCTTG